GCGCCGCCAGCACCTCCCGTCCGCCCTTCCAGCCGGCGTTTCCCGCCCGGGCAGCTCAGGCAGAGCCCTTCGCCAGCGCCTCAGCTGAGCTCCCGATTTCCAGCCCTGACCGCAGGCGCTTGAGCTTCTGGAAGGCGAGGTGCTGGAAAAAGCTGAACGTCCGAAAGCAGAGACGAGCGAAGTAAAACGCAGCAAGTCTGTTTCAGTAGTTACTTTTGACAGCCAAATGGATGAAGCGGGTATTTCCTTCGTTCAGAAATTTGAGCCCTTCGCCAGCGCCTCAGCTGAGCTCCCGATTTCCAGCCCTGACCGCAGGCGCTTGAGCTTCTGGAAGGCGAGGTGCTGGAAAAAGCTGAACGTCCGAAAGCAGAGACGAGCGAAGTAAAACGCAGCAAGTCTGTTTCAGTAGTTACTTTTGACAGCCAAATGGATGAAGCGGGTATTTCCTTCGTTCAGAAATTTCAAAGCGAAAAAAAAAACGTTAGGCAACGTGATTTTTCCATGGCTGTTAACTCAGCTGGACGCTTTTCAGCATTCAGATCTGCACGTTCTTTCTGTGTGTCAGCTTGTGCAAGTGGAAGATAAACAACGGAATGAAAGCAGCCTGTAAAAAGTGCTGCAGCAGCGGTTGTAGGCTATGAAAAACGCAAAAGAATTACCAATCTTTGGTAGAAGTTATTATTTTGAGATCAATTTCCTTAATGGCGTAGTAGATTTAACAAAAAAAAAAAAAATGAAATGTCTAACTGAACAAAGAGCAGAAACTTAACAAAAATGGGTTTCCATGTGTCAGAAGATGATACAAACCTTTCTTCCATTCCTTGAAGACCATTTAAAAATTGATCAGTGTAAGACCTGCATTTTAGCTTTTTCATGGGAGAGAACATTTGAGTTGATTGGTTTGGTTTTTTTAGTAATACATAGAATAGCTTTGCCTAGCTCAGAAACAGAATTTTTTCTTAAAAGTTCAAAGCCACGTTGGATCACATCCCTCTGGTTAGGGAGATATGTGATTTCCCAAGTGGGGGCTTTTCCCCCTTCTTTTTCAGTTTTTAAGGAAAAGTGGATCCTTCTTTAGCAGCACAGCCAAAGTCTAGAGTTATAATTTGACTAAAAGCAGGGTTTCAAATGTTGAGATTCATAACAACACAACGAGATTCAGAAAACAGCTCATTCATCTTTGTCAGTAAGACAAGAAGACGTTAAAAATAAACACCAATAAAAATATCCATTAGGAATAGCTGTGCAAGCAGAAAAAAAAATGAGGACAGTCTGCAGTTGGGACCACTGATTGACTAGTTTTGCCCTGCTTGCTTACAGGCAGCTAAAAATTCCTGTCTCGTGAGGTTGTCTTGAGGAGGGGCACCTCTGTCCAGAAGATCAGGGGGGCAAGGAGGGGAAGCAAAAAAAACCACTTAGGTATAGAAATGACTGACAAAAGGTCAAAACCTTATTGACTATAAAGCCTGTCTTCAATAGGGAGAGTGAAGATTTCATTAAGTCCTGCACTGTCCCCAGTCAGGATCCAATGAGAAGAAATAAACCGCAGTACTGTGCAGTTTGAGAAAAATGATTCAAAGAACATTTAAAGACATTGACGGTGGCAGAACTAGTTCAAAATGTTTATTGGCAGTCATCACTTACCAGTGTTTCAGAAAATGTCAGTAACTGATCCTGGCAGAGAGGAAGTTGCAAAGAGCTCAGATGCTGCAGAGCAATGGTTCCTAAGTAAAAAAACAACTGCTGTATTTAATCTTCATAGCCATCATTTCCTGACCTTCCCTGTGGTCATTTGTACATACTTACAAATGCACAGGTCATGCATAACTGCTGTAACCAAATTGCCCCGCATACACTAGAGCATTCCTATTTGAATACAAGTACTCCCACAGATTGTTAGATGTGAGCTCCATCCCTCGTCACCTCCCCAATATTGCAGAAACGCTGCCTCTTCATCGTTAAAAAGTAGTAAAAGTTTTGTTCTAGACACATTGGTCAGGCCAGAAAGCATTGGTCTAGCAGAGGGAGAAGAGGTGTTAAGAACTTTGATTCGAATCCTGTCCCTGCCACTGGTTTCTGTGCAGCCCCAGGCAAGTCATTTAAAATCTTGGGTTTGAAAATGAGTATCTGTCTCTTAGCCAGGGAAATGATACAGAGCTGGGGTAGAGTGAGTTTTCACAATCATTTTTCACTTTTATATATATATTACTGGTATCCTTGGATGTTTTTAAAATACAATTAAAAATCAAATGCTTACATACCATGTTAACTATTTCCGTTACTACCATGTGGTTCATGTGTATCCTACCTTTTAAAACTCTTTGAACTGGTAGTATTTCAAGTGATATTTCATGTCTGTACTGGAACAAAAGAATTGACGAGGATTTGTTTTATATGGAAGCTTTCACAGCACTAGTAGTTGAAACTTTGTATTCTTTCTTCTCATGAAAACATAATGAATACGTATAAAGAGATCAGCCAGGAGAGCTAATGAGAAAAGACAGTCTTACAGTTACAGTGATTTCTAGATGCTGAAGAACTGTAAGTGTAACTCCTACTTCTGGCCTAGATGAAGCAAGATTTAGGGCATTATTTTTAATTCACCTTTTTGGTCTCTCAGAGTAGCATCATAATGGTAGACTTGTTCTACCTCTCCAGGTTGGATACAACTTATGCACAGCCCTCCTCCTGCCCCTCTCCCCATCCTTCCACCTCCCTAAAAAAAACGAAAGAAAAAGGACTACTTTACAGCAGAAGTAAATTTAAGAGCAATTGTGTTGAGGTAGATTCTCCTCTTTAGACCCTACACTCATGCTGAAAATTAACCAAAACTGTGATGTTAATGGGGCTTACCTTTCCTTCAGTAAAATCCTGTCCCTCCCAAAGCTGAAAAAGCATAGTTGCTCACTTGTTAAAGACCAAGATTTTACCTGGTGTCTTTTCTAGTCAGAACATCTTTTCAAGGTCAGTGGGGAAAAGATCCTAAAAGACCAAGCACAAAAACCAGTGCTTTACTGTGTTAAAGGTGCTTGTTACACCTTTTTTGACACCAGCAGACTTGTTGCTGTGCTCTTCACTTCTTCCTCTCCAAAGCAAACTGAGAAGGAGGGATTTTGCATCAACAGAACAAACTACATGCATGTAAGTCTTACCTGAAAGTTTCCTACCATCTAATAGTAACTGAAATAGATCTGACTTCTTCAGATTTCCTTATCAGACCTACATCCCAGACTCTTTTCTGTTTAATCCCTGATCTTTTGGGGTTTTGTATGTTTTTTAGCTTTCCTATCACATGACAAAGAAGGAGCAGCTCTCAAAACTTTGCAGAGAAACAGATTGCCTTGAAACATTTTTTCATTTCCTAACATGCTTTTTCTGCTAAATGATAATCTAAAACAATCCAACTCTCGTTACGCTTTCACAAGAAAAAAAAATAATCAAACCAGAAAAATTCAAAACACCATTCTGCTTTCTCAAAGCTACTGAAAATTTTCTGGTAGAACGAGAGTGTCAGAACCAGTTATGATATCTCCCTCTGGACACCCATAGTGAAAGTAATACCAGAAGATCATTATCAGCCAGCAGAGGCACAAAAATTCAAACTGCTCGAGAAAGGCATGAGCCATGTACAGGTGAGAGCTTTACTATACCATTACTCCTAAAGATCCCAAGCAACGGGAGTCTAACTCCCTACAGCAACCAATAAAGTTAAAGGTTTAACACATTTTTTTTTCCCATGTACCATTAACTTAAATTGCCAGATAGCTCTCTCGACTTTTGACAAGTCTCATCCGTACAATGTCATGGATTGCTGAGTTTGAGGATCTTACCTTTGAAGGTGTGATTCTCTTGAACATCTGATCTAACCTGAAGAAATAAAGTTTTGTAGTCTAAGCACCCAAAAGATTTATCAAATTACCAAAAAGCATTGACATGAAAGCACAACAGGGTCTCATTTTTAAAAATTTCATTGAGTCAGGGCTATACACCAAAACCAGAGAGGGCTGGGATGCTGAAGGCAGCTTGCTGGGAGATGGATGATCTCCCCTGCCTCCTGTCTCCTGCTCCCAAGGGAGGGCATCTTATATCCACATTATGTGCTTCAGAGGTGCTGAGCACCTTACAGGATGTGAAAGACCACATTTGCAACACATTTGCCAACAGCAGACAAAAACTAATATGAACTGTATCTTTTCTTCTGTACAATATGTGTGCATCTATTTTTTTGTAAGTGCATAGTGACTTACATGCACATTCAGGGTCTGATCTTTTAGCAGAAAAGCTTATGGGCTGTCCAGTCACTGGATGTAATTCTATGACCTGCATTTTACAGGATGTACATCTTAATGATGTGATTTGACCTTGAAAATATATACCAAACAAATCTTGAACTAAAATTGGGTGCAGGCAGAAACACTGAGTAAAAACTAACCCTTTCACAAACCAATAAATCTACATAAGCTTTGAAATTCACTTATGAAGTGAGAATTTTCTAGTGTATATATTGCAAAAATTTACCTTACTATTCACTGCTTAGGTCAAGCAGCATGCCTAGTGGTGTGCATGTTTTAATTCTCTCACTCTTTAGGATTTGTGGATTTATGTACAGTGCTTTGTATTGAGCTGGAATTCAGCTGCTAATTGGAAATGGGAGTAATTATGTGCTTATATAGGAATTAGTATTAGGTGGTATTTTCTACTTCCATTTTGAAAGAAATTCTTCTGAGACCTTTGTCTGGATTCCAACTCATCTGTGTGTTTGCAGAGATAGAAGCCTTCTATTTAGGCAATCACGTTGTCATGTTAAATCAAAACAAGGCATTCACAAACAAAACAAGCAATAAATAAGAATCAGGGAACGGTACATTTGCCTCTGCAATGGTTCTCAGAACTCTCAGCTGAAATCTAACTGCAGTCTTGCATTATGGAAGCACAGACATGCTATCACAGATTAATGATAAAGGGTTGTCTTTGCCTTTCCCAGCTTTTATATGCTCTCTCCAAGTAACCCTGGATGCTGATCCTGGGCGTAGCTTCTGTAAATGGCAGCATCATTCTGGCTTCTTCAACTCTGTAGAGTTTGCCTCAAAGTGTCAGCTCTCTTGCTTATTTCCACAACCTTGTTTAGAGAAAATGCCCAGTATGCTCTGATACAAGAACATGTGGCTTCATGGAAAGTCCAGGCTGACTGTAAGAACTACAGTTAGGCAGGCTGGTCTCACTAGAACAAAATCAACATCTACTTATCATCTGAAAAGGGGGTAAAATGTCACCTTTGGCAAAGAACATGTTGGCTTGGAGACCTGGATATCTCAGTCCAGGATCCTTACCAGATGATCTGTCAGCTTCACTGCATGACTTCTTCCTGTTCACCTTATTTCTGTGTCTTTGGTATGGTGACAGGTCCCTTGTCCTGCTCTGGGAAATAGGGTTTTCATTCACTGGGTATCTCTGAAGGTAGCTTCAGAAGGTTCATTGATTAATGTTGCTCTTCAGTATTGGTTGCTGCCATGTTCTCAGGAAAAGTAGTACCTGCAGGCAACGGCTGTATTCACTCTCAATGGTTCACCCTGGATGCCTATGTAGTCAGAATTAAGTCACTGTTTTCTCTTCCAAAACAATATATAAAAGACTGAGTCCCTTATTTTCAACCTTTTTAGGTTCCATATGTGTAAGCCAGTAAGAGGAATGCAACACATTATTTTTTATGGATGTTATACTGACAGATTTTTTGTGGTACCAATTGCATACACAGTAAAGGATGCCAGATTGGCAAGCATTTGCTGCAACCGTGTGCATATGTATACAATCGCATTCACAGGTTGCAGGCTGAACCTGTTTTTCCTAGAACACGGGCTGCAATTTGCAAAACTTAGGCCTATTCAACTGAAATTCAGAAAGCGCAGGTTCTAGCCTGACCTCCGCTGTGCACAAAGTCAATCTTCTCCATTCCTCAGTAAGTCAGAACAATAGTGCTTTTTCCACCTAATGAGCACACCAAGAGGCTTAATTTATTGGGGACAGCGCATGCCTCGTTCAATATAAATACATAAAACAGGGTAAAGGTTACAAAAGCTCTCTCCAGATCTTGAATGTCCATCAGAAAACAGTGGTCACGGTCCATATTTTCTAGAAAAACTGTCAGTGACACAAAGCTGCAGTTCTGCAGAGAACGGCAGTGGTAACTAACATGGTAACTGAGTACAGTTTTGGCTAACTTGCCTCACTTCAGCTGATAGGAAGCTAGAATTTGTAAGGATCATTTTATCACTTCTTCGTGCCAGGGTTCACACTCGGTACCGGGATATGGCAATGTATGACAGTCTGTCTGAGTAATTACCTGTCAGCCACAGTATTTAGCTCTCTCATTGTGCCTCTTGGTACGGGGGTCAGGTCTCCATAAAGCAGAGCCTGATTTACGACTCTTTACTTGAATTCTGCACTGCCTTGTACACAATGCATGTACTGCACGTGCAGGAATAGGGCAAAAAGGGAAACAAAGACAGCGGTCACGGGGGAACTGCTAGAAGTACTTTGGAAATGCAGGCGGGAAACTGAGGATTATCCAGCAAGGCAGGCTACCTATAAATTCAGGAGTAGCAGCAAGACAAAAGAAGTCTTTTCTGTTGAATTTACAGAGGTTCCAAGCACAAGTTTCATACAGCAGTATTAGTTTATGTGAAGGCGATGCTGTGTTTTCTGGCACTGGTGCCTATGAGGCACAAGTGCCCGTGTGCGAACCTGATTTGCCATCTCATGGGCCACAACAGGGAGCTAATAGAGAATCACAGCCTTACCAGTGATTTAGCCCCAAGACAAAGCAAAGCATTTCCACTAGGGCTGCCAGCTGATTGTCCACATTTGGGCCAAGACTGCTGCCACCATTGTCTCACTGCCTACGTGAGTCAAATCTCCTTTTGCCATCAGCAGTTCAACGATGAATGTATGTGCAGGATGCCACAGAAATTGAGCAAATGGTGTTTCTTCACTCTCAACACAGCAGCA